AAAAGGATTCCTAATGCGGCCAAGAAAAAAATCCGGCATATCTTTCAGAGCATTAAAAAATGATGTGTAAAACAAAATTTCTTTATGATATTATATTCAATATCCCCAAAAAGTTTCAAATTAAACATATCTTCAACAGCTGCAAAAATACCTCTCGCTTGTTTTTTTTAAAGAAGTAAACTTGGTCATTTCGGTTCCAGCAGGGATAAGGTGCAGTATTGTTTTCAGTTGTCATATTTACACAATTACTTTAGATAAGACGCGTCGGACAAGTTATCTCAGTTGGCTGTGTGGGTTCAAGTCCCGTCAAGGTCAAGTTGTGGTTTTCCTGTGCAAGAAACTATATTCTCATTGATGTGTTCCCATACCGTAAATTACCCATTTTCGTTTAAAATGTTTCTGATATTATAGTTTAAGCTAGTCCCAAGTTTAAACAAATTCTGTTTCACAGTTTTTAATCTGTCTATATGTCTATGTAACTGTAACATAAGCCTGTAATCTTTCATTTGTAATATTTCCTCAAGATGGAAAAGTTATCAATGCCATAATTGTATTGAAAATAAAATTTTTTAATTGACATACAGTAAACGTAAATTAAAATCAAACGAAAGTTCTGGAAACAAAGTGATCCCTCGGAAGCATTAATCGCAACAAAATAACATAAGAATTGCATACTTTGTTTGATTGAGTCTGTACATGAAGGATAATGAATAAGTGCAACATCCCTCAAGACCCCTAGCACCGGCTTGACTTGTACTCAAGAGCGGTACTCAATTCTCAACACTTTACAGTGTTGGTATCAATGATCCCGAAGGACCAGAAAATATAACAACACTGAAGTGAAGTACGGGGCAACTTTTTACGGCAGCCACACAGCACTTGACACCTGCTGTTGTGAAGTTCAAATTCTGGAAACAAAGTGATCCCTCGGAAGCATTAATAACAACAAAATAACATAAGTAAATCAGTTAAATGCGATATTACGTTACATAAAAATACAAAGAGTAAGGTAAGCCTATGTCTATGAACTGACATAACAGACATGGCTTATTTACATGCATAGGAAATCAAAATATTTCATAATCTTTGCTCTATTTATATTTATTGCATTAACTAAAGTCACTTTTCTTGAAAGATTGAATCAATATTTCTGCGACATAATTCATTATAACGAGTAGACTTGTCTACGATATATTCACTCGTTAGTTGTTTTTCTAGGATTTATAAATCTAAGTTTGATCAAATCATACAGGTATCACGAGGTTTACATGAAGTTATTACATTGTTATTTCTAACCCATTAGACATAATCGTAGTACACGTATAAGAACACTTCTGCACAATTCAAGGCCGAACTTAATGACAATCTTATTTATACCCTTTTTGGTGCAATGTCATTTAAACACGTAAACTGAAAAATAAAACCTGTTTTTAAGCCAACATAGAACTAATTTCTGGACACGCCATTACAATGAAAATTTTAAATACAAAAAGAAGGCCAAAAAGGCCCTATCTGTGATATCGCTCACTAGAGAAACAAGACATGCTCAGGTGAGGAAAAAGTATGTTACCGGGTAAAAAAGTTTGCATCTGAAACTGCGTATATAATTAAAATTGTATAGCTTTATATCTTTGCCGTGAAGAATGTGCTAGAAATTGAAAAACATCAGGTGCTTCCGTTTTCACGAAACGGACACATTCTCCGGCGAGAATGCTGTCCATAAACAAAAAATACAAGGACAGTTTGTTTAGATGTCAAAGACCTTTCGATATTTTCTGATTCTATCTAAGGTAACCTGGCTGCACGGTTAACGACGGGATAAAGCAGAATTAATTTATTAGTCAATCAACTTTATTTATAGCTCACCATAGCACAACGTACTATTCTCATCACTCATCGTCCGGCGTCCGCCACTCCGTCCGTGTGTCTGTTCACAGCATCATTCATATTTAATATGTTTATTTGCGTTAATCGTTAAGTATGTAATATTTACATAAAAGTAAAAAGTATTACATACACACTTAACGATTAACGCAAATAAAAGCACATGTCGTGCTTTGAGGGTACCTATGTGTTCAATAATTAGAGGGTACCTGTGATATAAAAATTCAAATGAAGAGAGATAGCCCGTGCCGCTGCAAAACCGAAAGTAGGGTGTTGGTTGTTTTTATGAATTTTACATTTATTTTTGACAATATACTGCCATTTGTCCGGAAATGATATGTATATGAACATATTTAATATGTATGATGCATTTATAATTAAGCCACAGGGTCATCCAGCCCGAAAAATATGTCGAGGTGATGGGCGAAGCAAGACATGTCGATTTTTGTAGCTTATTGTGAAGTTGCAGTACATGAAAATCGGGCACATGACAAATCAGCACATAAATAAAACATTTTAGTGTTCCGTGGAATACATCTTTTCTACGTGTCATACCTCCTTTCCTTATTACAATGAAATTTTACTGGATTGGTATCCATCGCTGGTTTGTTTTTAGCAGAGAATGACCTGTGCATGTTCAGAGAGGGTACCGTTTGAGCAGATTTCGCAAAGAGGGTACCGATATGGATATGCACCGTGAGGTAACTAAACCTTGTCCATGCAAACTATATATCCTCTGGTGAGGGATTTAGGGCCATCATGGCCTTCTTGTATTTATCAAAACATCAAGTAAATGCCATGGCAAAGGTTTAAGATCTTTGTAAATTAATGACAAGCTAGTAAATAACTAAGGATTTCTTAAACTAGATACACTAATTAGAAAGACTGAACATAAAAGGGAGAATATCATATTTGACACTATAAAAATACTAGCTTTGCATATACACAATACAAAATTTGCATATACAATGATAAAATATATGCGTTGATGATGTTTGTAAAGAGGAAACAGAATTGGATTAGTGGAAATAGTTGTTGACAATCACTTATCAACAAATATGCCTTCATTTAGGTTTTATCAATACATTTTAATTAGCTACATTGCCAATCAAGTTAAACTCAAATGAAAATGCGCTTCTTACGAAAAATATAGGACAAAGTAAATTATAAAATCGGACAATAACTTGAGCAGAATTACTTGGCATTATTGATAACTGAAAATTGTATTAAGGTGCTATTTAAGGTTGGATGGAAGGGTTTTGTCGGTATTGAATTGTTTTTTATTATTTGATTAAGGGCGTTAGTCCGGCGACTGAAGTCATAAACAAATATTTTGAAACCACAGAACTAGTTTATTGTGTGTAGAATGTTTTACAAATGTAATTTTTCGTTTATCTAGTTTCTTTTTTACTATTTTATGTCATTTCATTCCATTCAACTATGGTAAAAGTTTTGTTTTAATGCCGCCATTTTTCAATCAAGTAGCGTCTTGTACCTAACTGGCTTCTTTTACTTTGCTGTCGTCTTTACACTCATCATCTGTCATATTCAGAAACGCCAAGCAATCAATTTGAAGCGACATGAGCTCTTTTTTGTTGTCATTTTGAGTTGATTTATGAGTTGATAAATGTATTTCAAAAGATTGACTATTATTATAGTGAATGACCAATACTTGATAAAAAAAATTCAGATACATTATAAAAATGACATGAATTATAAAAAGACTGTCACACTCTTTTACAGAATTGAACAATACCGATACATTCTAAACGATATACATAGTTTCCCTTTGTCACTTAAATTATTGATTTCTTTTCAAAGTAAAATATAATTGAGCATGAAAATTTTAAAATATTTATGTTTCACATAAAATTTGCTGAACTTGCACATATTTTGAAATAAAAGTTCAAAATATTTTTCCATTGACGACGACTTTTAATCTGAAGAAGACTTACCAAGTTGTTGGCAATATTGCATCTTTCTACTAATGCGGGGGTGAAAGGTCATTTTTATCACAGTGCATGATTCTATCGCTTGTAATAAGGCAGAACTATTTTTCCTGTCCACATGATAACCTTGTCACTCACAGTGATATAAATACGCGCGGTTAACGACAACAGTCAGCGTTATAAATGCCTTACACAGAAACAATATCAGTGTAGGATAAATGTTGATCTTCTATAGTTAAGAGGAAGGAAGAAGTATGTGAATATTTTGTCTTATAGGAATGTATATGCTGATAATAATAATAGTATAATAATAATAATAATAATAATAATAATAATAATAATTATGATGATAAAAATAATAATAGTTAAATGATAATAATATATAATTGTGATGATAATAATGCTGCTGCTGGTGATGATGTGGTAGTTTAGATGAAGATGATGTGGTGGTGGTGGTAGTGATGATGATGATTGTTGATGATGATGAACATGATGATGATAAAGAAAGTGTATTATGGATGTATCGCTCTCAGAACTTTTCTATTTTGAAACAGTTGTGTAACGGCATCTTTTGCATGGCGTTGAGCAGGACTAAAATATATAATTAACATCTCATTTTGTTCGAAAAACGATTTGAAACCTATTTTACTTACCTTTTATCAATGAATTGTTTTTATCAGACAAATTAAAAAGAATTTTTTACATAAAATTTTACATTTCTATATGTTTCAAAAGATAAAGATAGATAGTACAATATGTGCATATTTTTTCAGTCAAAGGAGAAAAACTATGGAGAACATAACTGCGCTTAATTTGACAGAGATTTTTCTCAATGGTTCGGACTCGACGAATACCACAGGGATGAGGAGTAGTACGAGGACCAAGTCTCAGACGTCATTTTATTTGTCCTTATGCCTGATTTGGATACCAGGAATTCTTACAAACCTACTTGCTCTTTTCTTTATCATCCGTGATATAAAGAAAGCGGTATTTCCCGCTATTATTTTATTACTCGTGCTTTGTACATGCGACTTTATCGCTGTTTGCTTTTCGATCACGCGTCACATGGTAATTAGATTTGTCCCGGATGTGAATTATCCAATGTGTGCCTCCCTGGCTACATTTCACTCACATTTCAAACTATTCTCAGGTGTCATGAATGTACTAATGGCAGTTGATCGTGTGCTGGCGATATGTTTCGCGTTCTATTATAAACAACACGTGAGTGTCAAAACGTGGAAACTAGCCTGTCTTCTTGCTACAGTCTCTGTAGCGGCACTGAATCTTCTGCCGTTAATCGGACTTGGAAGTTATACCGGCACGAGAAAGAGCACGGGTAAAATGTACTGCACGTCACTCAGTTTTAAGGTACCGCCTATTGAGAGGGTGTACGGGATGGCGTATGGATTCGCGGGAATAATATGCGTGATCATGATTGTATGCCTGAATGCGGTTGTGATACGGTCTGTTTTGAAGCTCTCCTCACGGGTTGTTAGCTTTGCACCATCAGAGTCTGCCACCAGTTCAACAGGAGATACCAACTCCTCAAAAGTAAACCAAACCTCAGTGGAAGTTGCTTTTGCTAAACTGATGCTAGCACTAGCGACTGTCTACCTCGTCTGCGAAACTCCTTACAACGTAAGTAATGAACTTTGCTTAAATTGATATTATATTGTAAACTTAACTCATAATTGTTTATTGACAGTTTACGTTTTGGAACAGAGCATTCATAGTTAAGTTTGTTTATGCATATTGAATCTGTAAATGCACATACAGTATATTTCATTTCAGATAAATACAAAACTGTCCAGTCACCTTTCTTTTAAAAAAATGAAAAACCATAATTTTTCAATAAAAGTCGATATTGCTGATATTTGCGAACTGGGGATATTAATTGAAATAATATATTTTTAACAGAATTCGAATTGAAATTGAATATATATGTAAACGTCTTTAAAATAAATTTAAGCGTTGATTTTATTTTGACTTTCTATGGCCCAAGAGCCTGAACAGAAGATAGGGTTTATAATAACTCTTAGCTTTACCAGGGTCAAGGCTTGTATTTCTGGTCGAAAATTTGATTCTAAATGTTCTTTTAATATAATCCTTATTGTACGAAACACCCAAGATGACAAATGACAATCTATTTTATTATTGCCTGATAATGTGTGTAATGAATAAAATTTCAGAAAATTAAATTTAGGCTTAAAGGTAATTATACCAATGAGATGTTGCAGAATCCTTGATATTCGAATCTCAAATTAATCATTAAAATGACTATAGATTGAGAAAGATATGCAGGGATTTCCTTGCTTAGATCATTTATTATGAAGACAAACTCATTCTTCACCGTAAGACTAGAACATATAACGTGTCTAGGTGTTCAGTCGTTTCATTTTTTCCAGAATTATATGGTTTAAATTTCTGCTTCACTATAGATTAACAAACGAAATCACTGTACCGTTTCTTGCGAGCCTAAACAGTTCAATGTGTACCCTCTTTTGCGATTATAATCAAGTGTTAATTCCAAACACTGTACTTACATGGGAGCATTTTCATTCTAACTTGAATAAATCTTGCGATAACAGGAAGTAAACTTGTTTATATACTGTGTTTTGTAAATTACGGCTGAACCTTTAGTCCACCGCTTTAATAGCAAACTCTGTATTTGGTCAGTTATTATATTTAAAAATATTATAGTAATAATAATGTCTAAATCTTGAAAGGAATCTATTTACAAGTAACTTTATAGACGGGAAGCATGCTTAGTAAAGTATATAATTATATGTGAATGCAAGTGTTGTATTGCTTTAACAATTTTACATCTATCTAATCTATTATTGAAGTTGTTTATATAAACCCCGTCTTCTGCTGAGGCCTTAATGCAGTCGCTTCATCTAAGCTTTAATTTAGTTTTTCCCCCATCGTTAATTAAGACCACAACCTATCTTATTTCACTAGCGTTCCTTTGAAAATGGCGGATTATACTTAGACGACAAACCAGAAAACTAATAATGAAATATATGTACATGGGAAGTTATTTTACTATTTAGCACTATCAAACAAAAATTTGAAAACAAGAATATACAAGATGTCTCTTAGTCTTGTTATGTTAAGTGGTAGTCTTACATAATATTAATGATTCATTTGTTTATACGGATATTTTACTGTTGTACTAAAAACAGTGGTGTAATTAGAATTTGTAGATGATTTTCTATAAGAATTTATAAGTAACATTAAGGATTCTGAAGCAAAAATAATTATGCGTGACCTTGACCTAATCTAAGGCAATCAATAAATGTTAAGAAAGAAATAATAACACGCTAAGCTTCATTTGTCCGTTCATCTGATTCAGAGAATAATTTGTCAGTCTTATTGCAAGAGATCTCTGATATAAAAAATAATCTCATTTACATTTCTGTTACACAATTAACCCCTAAACTTGATGAATTTCTAAAAATCGACTTGTCAAGCTTCCATTTTCCGAACTTTCTATTATCAATTTTGGGGATATCTGGATGATTATTTGAAGGTATAGACATATATAATTTATTATTGATATACTGTATTCCGTATCGTACCATAACCCCTCGCTTATAAAAGTATCGTACCTCTATACGGTCGATCCTCTGATAGAGCTAAGTAAGAATGTCTGTTAGTTAGACTGGCGGAAAAAAGCTAATCACTTCCGTTTACACCAGGGTAAAAGTTAAATCAAGACAAAATTGAGCCGCGTCACGACAAAACCAACATAATACGTTTAATTCCAGCATGGATCTGGACCAGCCTGCGCATCCGCGCAGTCTGATCAGGATCCATGCTGTTCGCTCACCAACTCTATTACAAGTAGAAAACTGATAGCGAACAGCATGGATCCTGACCAGACTGCGCGGATGCGCAGGCTGGTCTGGATCCATGCTGGTCGCAAACCCAATATGTTGGTTTTGTCATGACACGGCTCAATGTTTTTTTACTTTTTCATCATCCCTAAATCCATCGTCAATCAAACATCACTGTCATGATAAACAACAAATTAAGGCACAGTAAAAATGAAAACGACAAATAACAGGTCTGTATTTCAATTATATGTCATATATTTCACAGTCTTAATTGACGTTCCTGGATCATTAACAATGGTAACATCTAGAATTACTTGCGGAGTGATAAATCATACGGAACTTTATTACAGGAAAAGGGACAGGTGTTCATTATATTTTCTAATTTGAATTTATATTTTTCTTTACAATATTGTAACATCAGAAAAGAGGTTTGCAAATTTTTAATGGCCAATTTAATTAATCTAAAGACGTTCTCGATATTTTCCATCTAAGTAATTCTATAATTGATATATCTTTCTTAAGATTTTAGTGTAATAAGTCAGACTTTACATATGTTTTCACATCTTTTTTGAATAACCTTTAAGAAGGGTCTCGATAACGTTGTTATAACTTTTAGCCCAATCATTTTTATAAGTTCCTTAATTCAGAGGTGTTAATTACATGGAAAACAGATGGAGAAATTTCGGGACCCTGAAAAATGTTCCGGTTTGTAGAAATTCCGGAATTCGGATGTTACACTGTATCTACATCAATGTATTTATGTATAATTGTATACAATAAATAAAACGATTTTACTAAAAATAAATTCCATGTAAACAAAAAAAAAGAAAGCTATTTCATAGGATTTATCAATAAACGAATGTTTTTCGGTAAAACATATTTTCGGAAATAGTGTTATCAAGAATAAGATAGAAAACTTAATCCAAATGTACACATATTATTTTCAGCCGACTTATTGTTTAGTTAATTATCATTGAAATAACCTAAGGTAACAAAACAAAACAAACAAAAAAAAGAACCCCCCCCCCCAAAAAAAAAAAAAAAAAAAATCTAGAGCATCTGAGAACTGAAAATGAGATAATCAACCCTCCATTTATTTTCTTTTAAAATGTTTCTGTTGTCATTTTCTAAGCTCACCCAAAGATTAAATTTATCATATAGTTTTTCATACTGTGTAGAAACGCAATTCACTTACGCAAATACAGAGATATTATGACTTTTCAGCCCTTAAGTCATCATTAAGTAAAGAACTGTGATTAAGAGTTCAAGAGTATTCGGCATGCTGTTTCAAAGAAACGGTTTCTGACATTTTCACGGTTATTATTTTTAGCTTTGAATCTTTTATTTCCAGGTTTTGATTTTACTACAGCAGTTCAGGGTACCTGTTGACGTGAAAATTACAAGCTATGTTCATCTCATCTCAGGATTCAGCTACACTGTAGATCCTGTTGTTTATATCCTGATTCGTAAAACCAACAGGAAACGTATCGTCGATTTCCTCTGTCGCAGAAAGGATTCATGAGTTATCTTCTCTTTAATTATACTGACGTCATATTGACGGCAATTGTTTGTAAGCAGATGTTAAATTGACAGGTTTGACAGAAAGAAAAAAGCAACAACAATTTATTGTTGTTGTTGTTGTTTTTTTCAATTCAAATTTTTTGCAAATACAGTGCGTAAAATTGCTCCTGAGTTTCAAGAAAGGGAGAAACGAAAAAAAAATGAAAAAATTCTCATATACAAATGTAATGACATCCATACAGAATATCAAAATATTAATCCATCTTCGTCAGCAAACAATATGTTCTTGTTCATACAGCCAGGTGAATAAACCCATGACGTCATTTGTAGGCAGACGACATGTTCGATAAAGACAATTAGTGATCTAGTTCATGCATAGAAAATAAGATTTTTAATGGATTTGTAAATTGTCAATGCTAACCAAACAATAAAGAGGACTGGCCAAATGATCCATAAGTTTCAATGACTATAAATGACTCATTATTGATGCAACTTTTATAGATATGATCTAGCTGTAAAAATAAACGCTTAAAATTGAAATGTTGAAACCTCTATGATCTATTTGTATAAATAAACGTTGATATGTTGATATCAAAGTTTGTACAGTTTTATTGTTGATTCTACGTGTATGTGTGAAATTACAGAAATTATGTAATGATTATTACACAAGAGATGTCATGTTTTAAACACAAAATGTTATCATTACATGAGTAATTTTGTTTCTGGATGTGATTTATTCAGAATAAATTTGGTTTGGAATGAATTTTTATTATTTATATATTCGATGTTTTTACCAGTTTAATAAAGTATTTTATGACCTAAAAAACTCTGTATAGTTTGATTATAAATTTTTTGTGCTGTTTTTATATTTAACCTTGTTTTGTAAATTTATCTGTCAATAATAAACATACAAATCGATCTAGTTTCAAGCTTCGACTTTCAGGTTTAACTAAATGTTGTTCCTTGGCTTCCCCATACTGTAAAATCACAAAAAGTATCTGCATGATCTTTTTGTTTCCATTGAACTACAATCATTCCTTTTATGTTTACATATAATAAGGGGGGTAAAAAATGATAACCTGTTTTTACATAAAGACACAATTATATTTCTTTTTTTAATTAAATGAAATATAATTTTTAATTAAATGATTATAACGTGATCATGTTATATAATATCCACATTTTGCAGGGATTCATCAAAATCATTTCACACTCACTTGTGGCTTATCAAATGTAATAGATATTATCATCAAGTTATTCCGTCTACTAGCGTCAAGTATATTAATTCAATTCACCATTTTATTCTTACATGAAAAATGGGCATATATGATGTGTTATATTTCAAGATGCACACAAATTTCACATATGTCCCCTCGGATCAGATTATTGTAAGTTTTTGCCAAAAAGGGTTAATCAATTAGTTCTGAAAGGGAATGTTTATCAAATATACATCAAAATAATACCTTGACCTTAAACTCAGACCTTAAACCCTAAACGCCACCCAAAATAAGAAAACCACCAAAGGTCTACATACTTAATATTAAAGACAAAGGTCAATATATACATGTAAATACTGTGCGAGCAACAGTGTAAAACATCTTATTTTAGTAATGCTGACCTTGACTTTCTGACTCAAATCAAATCATTGATAAAAAAACCCAGCAAAAGTATATTCTTACCAAAAGCTTCATTCTATCTTAGAAGACTAAAAAGGGTATCTACCAATTAAATATGAAATACATCAGCTGTGTGAGCAAAAGTGTGACAATCTATTTCAGCACCGGTGACTTTGATTTAGACTCCAGAAACATCTAGGTAGAGAACCACCAAAGGTATATTTCTGTCGAATATGAATGATATTGGTCGAGAAACAAATGGTGTGTCAGCAAAAGAGTAAAAAAACATTTTAGCACCATTGACATTAACCTTAATTTTAGAGACCCAAACCTCCTTCCAAAGAAAGTGTACTATCGCATATAAGTTCTTAGTTAATTTAAAAAAGATATCAGTCAGTAAATAAATTTGCAAGAAAACACTTGGAAAAGTAAATGGCAGAATAATGTAACTTGCTACTTACTTGTACATTGTACTTTGTATAAGTAAGTAAGTTCGTCGTCTAGAATCAAGGTATTGGTAAAGATAAACAATAATGTTATATCTAATATGACAGAATAACTTAACCATACAAAGACCTATGTTAAAAGTGCTAAAAAGGGAAAATAATTGGCGGGAATTGAAGCTATAGTTAATATTTTTACCAATTTACCAAGGTCAAGGACTTTGTATTGCATTTATGATGTATGGCACTGTCAATTTAACACCCCTTTTGAAGAAACGATGTGCGCCAAAGCATTGTGTTACAAACTCATAGCAACACCAGGGGTCAAACGACCTCACCTGCTAATTCCAGCTATTCGAACCCATCTTGCCGCCTGTAACGATTATATAGGGATAAACGGCAGCTGCAATTCTGATGCATCAAACCTTAATGGCAACCCCTAAGCAGAAGGGTGTCATAGCCCATATTTAGGAGGTAGAACATAGCCACTGTTCATTATCAGCATAGGAATTTGACAATTATTTACAACAGTTTCTTAAATGAAGCTTCTTTCTCTAAAGTCATTAGAACATGTTTCATACCATCATTACTGAGTCGTTTAATGACGTCATTTTCTCATTTGCTTCATTGGAATTATAGTAAGCCTATTTGTTAGAGAATTTTACAGTCTGGAAACTAGGTTTTGTGACTAATTTGTAGTTCTTGAAAATGTTGCACATAAAAAGTGTTGTTTTTTTCTCTCTTTTTTTGTATTGATTTGTTGTAAATAGGGAAACATAAGACGAAATTCAATAAAAAATATATACACCACCAATTTCAGAACAAACTTTCAATCTCAAAAATTGAATATTTTCATATAAATTCATGCGAAGAAAAATGAAAGATGTAAGGATTATGTACATTGAATATGAAACATCAAAATAATCTTTATCTCATTGCAGTGGCCACAAGGATAAAATGCTGAAAATAACTTTTTGGAGGTTCAAATCGTAGTATTTCTTTGATTTCAGGAAGTGAAGCTAGCCAGCTTTTACGAAAGACCGGTGGAGACATTTCAACTTCATAAATTCACGATTTCATCTTCATGAATTCACAATTTCAAATTCACATATTCATGAATTCAACTTCATGAATTGACGTTTTCAACTTCACAAATTCAACTTCATGAATTCACGATTTCAACTTCGTGAATTTACAATTTCAACTTTTTGAATTCAACGTCGTGAATTTACGATTTTAACTTCATGAGTTCACGATTTCAACTTAATGAATTCACGATTTCAACTTTATGAATTCACGATTCTAACATCATGAATTCACGATTTCAACTTCATGAATTCACGAAGTATTTGTTCTATGCATTGCATATATTTTGATCGGAAATTTTTTAGTTTTCTCTAAATTGATTTGTTTTACGTCTTATTGTTACAAGCCGTTTAGAAATAGAAAAAAGTCTTGATAATCTGAAAAGTCACAATATCACAATTCAAAATATAAAATTTTATAAAATATAATAACCGTTTCACGTCAACTGTAATTATTTGGATCGTTCATAAGCATAAACGAAAATAATTACATATAAAAACCTATTATGCTACCATCCAATAGTTTCAAATCTTGATATACCATAGCAAATCCCTAAATACTATATAATATAACTATTTGCACACATTTCTCATGGAAATAAAAAACGAAAATACCTGTCAGACACCAATTAACAAATATCATAAAAACTTGTACACTTATTTTTGTACCTATACCATTCTCTATGATAATTGTCTTGTACATTTCTTAAAATTGACCAATCACTGACTGTCGTCCTTGAACTAATTTGAAGCCACGTTCATTTTATTAATGCTTGTCACGCGAAAGTTGTGACTTGATTGTATTTAAGTGCTATATTGATGTCAATTAATTAGATATTTCTTCTCATTTCATGTATTGGCTACTCATATCATAGGCTATGAATTATCTACACGCAATGTTATAGACAAGGTAGTCGAAACTTTAGGTAAATGGGGAAGACAAATGTGTCACATTAGAGCATTTATGGAACTTCCTACGCTTGACCTATATGTAATTGAAATAAAACGTGTAAAACCCATCGCTCGTTCTACACACCGTTTTACCGACACAAGCGATGACAGATTGCTAAAGCAATCGGAACTCCTCGGCTATAAGTCATAATAACCTCGGACGTAATACGGAATGAATGTAGTTCTATCACATGGTTGGAATTGAAACAAAGAAAAGACTGTGTAATCTTTGATAATGTATTAAGAATGCAAATATTTGAAATTCAAAGAAAAGCAAAGTATATTTCGGTAAAATGATTAGAAATATATCTGATAATCATAATCATTTTTTTAAAAGCCAACTGATGTACAATGATACCCAAACCCGAATGCTGCTGAGTAGACAGAAATCTTTTTTTCAAAGCTACCGGTGATTGCAAATACACTCTGGCAAACATTCTGACAGAAAATCATCATCACTCTTACGTTATGGGTAATAGTGATATCAATTATTGTTAAATAATATTACAAAAATTTAAATTATAATAGTATTTGCACAACAATGTTATAAACTATTTATACCAAATGAAATGGCGAAGTTTGTATTAGAGAGAGGGTGAGGGAATTTATGTGAACAAGCTAATGAAGGTCTACAAAATACAATTTAAAATGTAGGTACCCGGGAATGTATAGCTTCCATTCTGAAGCTCATATAATGTTTTTACATTTAGGAAGAAATTATATTTCACCAACATTTTAGCCTAGATGCAATTATTCAATCGGATTTAAGCTATTTTTAAAAAACTTGAAAAAAGTGAAGTAATTTTATGTGAGTGATTATTTACTTACATGAGGAAAGTTTACAAAATGTACAGAACTGGCAAAAGAAATATTTGAGAAACATTAAAATAATAAACAAGCCATGTG